CTATGGAGTCAGAGAACTCTGGAAATCAGTCTTGACCCTGTGCAGTATTTAATGAAGCAGAAATTATGTCTATGCATATGCTAATTAAAGATGAAATCTCATATTAATTTTAACAAACTGGCTACCTATTCACTGATTGCTGAGTTCAGGGAAGAGTGATGCTCAGTTCAGTCAAGGTTGGAGCAAAAGAGATAATAAATTGGATTTGTTTGATACAAGCAGACAGCTTTTATTCCTAGGATATTTGCATTGCTTTGTTATTAAAGTTCTTTTCATTTCAGATTAATACATGAACTCTTCCAACTAAGATATATTAACATTAGCATTTTCTGAAAGGTCTACCTTGGGCATCGTTTCCCTGGCAACCAATCACTGCTGCTAGGCAGGGAAAAGGCCTAATTCATTCTTCTAAAGTGTCACCAATTCACATATAATTCACACATACATGTGCTGTGGGTGACTGTGTGCATATGTGTGTCAAAGAATGCATATATATGTAGATGTTCAACAATATCACAGGTGAGAAAAAACAGTGTCCTTCCAGGAAGTGGAAACCTTGGACATTATAGTAGCCTTTGCCTTTATAGGCAAATCAGATTGGAGCCATTAACACCTAATTTTGTCAAAGAAAAATGTGATGTGCTATTTGTATTTGCAAACTTCCACTGCTTACTATGGTTGAGAAAAATAATGTAAGAAATATAGGCTCCTGGATATTCTATGACCTCAAGATTTCACACTGATATTGTTTTTAATAATTTTTAAAAGTCAGACAGAAGCATAGTATTTGAGGTGAGAAATTCCTTATGCATAAAACATTTTGGCCCTGACCGGTTTGGCTCAGTGGATAGAGCGTCGGCCTGCGGATTGAAAGGTCCCAGGTTCGATTCTGGTCAAGGGCATGTACCTTGGTTGCAGGCACATCCCCAGTAGGGGGTGTGCAGGAGGCAGCTGATTGATGTTTCTCTCTCATCAATGTTTCTAACTCTCTATCCCTCTCCCTTCCTCTCTGTAAGAAATCAATAAAATATATTAAAAAAAAACATCTTGGAATTTGTGTAGAACAGAATTAGTAAAGGAGGAATATGAGGATACTCTATAACTAATAGGAACATGTACAGAAATAGTCATAATAATTATCATATATAAAATGATAGTGACATCATCATTACTTTTGGTTGTAGCCAGCCTCCAAAATACCAATGATCCCTGCCTCTTGGTAGTCACACCTTCATATAGTCCCCTCTCACTCTTTACCAGGGTTGGTTGGAGCAGGCCATGGAATATAGCGGAAGTGGTGGTATGTCTCCTTGGATATTAGGTTATAAAAGACACTAAAGCATTTATCTTGGTTGCTCCTTCTCTTTCTGGGATACTGTGTTTTTGAGAAAGCCAGCTGTGTCATGAGCAGCCCTATGGAGAGACCCAGATGGGGAAGAGCATCTGGCCTGGCCAGCAGCACAGTGAGCTAGAACGCAGTCTTAAAAGCCCAGTTAAAGAAATGTGTTTAACAAACTCGGTGATCTAACTAAGGAGATTTCCAGAGAAAGGGTTGAAAGTGCTTTCTGATTTCTTCTTGCTACCTATCAAGTTGAGAAAGAAGATACATGAACTAAACAAAGACCCGTTAAAGACTAATGAGCTGGGACTTAATGATTTTGAGAATTCTCAGCCCCTCCAGATAGGAAATAATGCTAAAATTAAGAAATGGCTTCCTAGTAAAGAACACAGAACAAATAAAATAAGCTATCTATTCTCAAGGGGTTTATAATCTAGTTTGGCAATGGACACATAATAACTAAATATAATACACGCAGAATCAAATATATGATAAATAGAAGTTCTAAGAAAGTGATAAAGGACTATGGAGGAAGGGTCGTAAAAGGGTTCCTGGAGAGTATGTGCCCTTTAAGCTGCACCTTGAGTGACGTGTAGATATTGGCAGGGAAAAGGATAATAAACCTCCGCATCTCCTTTTGTTGATCCTAACAAAGGATCATCTTGCCTGAGATATTTCAGAATCACCATATCTAGACTTTCAATGGGCAGCAACCATGTACTTTGGTAAAATGCAAAACACATAACCAATAGAAGGTGCCTGTGCAAAATAATTAATTAGTCTATACGTATGGACCAGACAATGTCTGCTCCTCTGAGGAGGAATGAATTACTCCTCCTGTCCTCAAGGGGCTTCTGTTTTAATTGGGGAAACTAGGCAAATAGTATTACTTTTATTTTAGACATTATATACAGATTGCATAAAAAAGGAACACAGCTCAAACTGGAGAGCTTACAATATTTTTAATAGGCTGATTCTTGAGTTGCATCCTGAAGGATCATCATTAGATGAAAGAAGAAAAAGCAATATTACATGAGGAAAAGACTGTTCCAAAGTTAGAATTTGAAAGTGAACATGGAGCATTTAAGGAACTCTAAATAACTCAGCAGAGTAAAGCATAAATGTGAAAAAGAAACGGCAAGAGAGGAGAGGGGGAAGGTAAGCCTACACATTGCTGAGAGTGTTTCAGTGGTTAAAATGTTGTTGGTGCATCAGATCTGATTGGTTACCCTTCAGGTTCCTTCCACATTAAAAATCATGTGAAGTGCTCATCACCACTATTAACCTGGTGCAGTAAATCATGTGAATAAACACAATCTCTGCTTACACAACTAAAGTTGCTGTAAAAAAAATTCACATTCTCAACCAGCAAAAGATCATTCAACTAGCTCATTTGCTTTTAAAGTTCAAAATGAAGATATGATGATAAATAACTATCTATATATTACTTTTTTAAAGTACTACATACTGGTTTTTTGGTTAAAAGCAATTATATTCATATGGCTCTATGCTTTCAACAATTCTAAGAAATCTGTATACAATACTGCACCCATGTAGCCTGGTTTGGTGCCATAAGGAGATTGATCATTAAAAAAATTACCAAATAAAATAACAAGCTAATACTGAGAGGAAATATTTGTGAATCATCTGTTTGTGTGTTGTTGTTTTTTATAAAGGATTTTTATCCAGAAAATATAAGAACTCTTACAATCCAGTAAGAAGACAAACAACCCAGTTAAAACATAGGCAAAAGATCTGAATAGTAGACATTTTGCTAAAGAGGATATGCAAATAGCTAAGAAGCACATAAAATATACTGAATATTATTTGTCATTAGGGAAATAAAAATTAAAACCACAATCAGTTCCCACTTCAGACCCTGTAGAGTGGCTGCACACTCTAACACAAGGATAAACAGAAAAGATGAACTCACTCATTTTTAATGGGAACATAAGATGGTGCAGCCATTTTGAAAGGCTGTTTAGCAGTTTCTTTAAAAGTTAAACATAAATTTACCATACAACCCAGAAGAACTGAAATTCCTCGGAATCTACCCAACAGAATTGAAAACATGGCCACCCAACACTTATATGTGATTATTCATAGCAGCATTATTCATAATAGGTAAAAAGTCAACACAATCCAAATATCTATCAACTGATGAATAAACAAAATGAAATATGTCTATGCAATATAATACTATTCAGCAATTAAAAGCAATGTACTACTTGTATATGTTATGATGTGAATGAACCTCTAAAATATTATGTAAATGAAGAAAGCCAGATGCAAAAATATGATTCCATTTATTTGAAATGTCCAGAAATGCAACTATAGAGAGACATAAAGTATACTAAGTAATCATCTAGAATAGGGTGTGGGAATGGGAGTGACTGAACATGGGCACAGGGATATTTTGGGGAGGTAGCAATGTTCTCAAATGAGATCAGTGAGAAATTTGCACAATTCTGTAAATTTGTAAAAAAAATCATTAAATTGTACATGTAAATGGGTGAATTTTGTGGTATATAAAACTATTTTTTTAAAATATATTTTTATTGATGTCAGAGAGGAAGGGAGAGGGAAAGAGAGATAGAAACATCAATGATGAGAGAGAATCATTGATTGGCTGCCTCCTGCATGCCCCCCACTGGGGATCAAGCCCGCAACCTGGGCATATGCCCTGACCAGGAATCGAACTGGTGACCTCTTGGTTCCTGGGTTGACGCTCAACCGCTGAGCTACACCTGGCTGGGCTACAAAACTATTTTTAAAATACCTTTTAAAAAAATAATATCCACTAGACCAGTGATGGCGAACCTTTTGAGCTCGGCATGTCAGCATTTTGAAAAACTCTAACTTAACTCTGGTGCCGTGTCACATATAGAAATTTTTTTAATATTTGCAACCATAGTAAAACAAAGACTTATATTTTTGATATTTATTTTATATATTTAAATGCCATTTAACAAAGAAAAATCAAACAAAAAAATTAGTTCACGTGTCACCTCTGACACGCGTGTCATAGGTTCGCCATCACTGCACTAGACAGTAACCTCCTTTGAAAACGGAGAAATATAAATGGTCTCAGGGTCTCTCACTCAGTAGGTGGAGCTTCCGGTTGGGTACAAAGGCACACCTCATGAATCCATGCTTCCATCATTTCAGCAGAGAGTAGGAAGAAGTAAACTAATGTTTGTACTTAAGGAAGGCATTTTGTAAGCAAATTCACCATGTACACAAGCTAACAGGGGCAGAACTGGAATGTTTACAAAGAACAGATTTTTCAATCCCCTGTGAATACTGTAGCAGCACCCACTTTAATACCAGGACCTCCTGGTATAAAGTATTCCCATACATTACAGCAGATCCTTTCACATCCCCACAACATAATCCTTTGATAGATCATTGAAGTTTCTGTATTTAAATATTAAAAATATTATCTAATTCAGACATGTACTTCCACTCCAGTTTGTTTAAATGAGAGCCATTCATAGCACACTTCTGAAATTATTAATGTCATTATACCTTGACCAGGAATATATATATATATACCTCATGCATGCACACATTCTAAGGAACGGAGACTATACAAGTAGCCAAAAATGCATGTTTAGATTTTGGTGACTGGGGATACATTTTTGCCCTTAACATCATGTACCTGGAATGTGATGGACCTCTTTCCTGGGAAGTTTGGGAGGACAGACTTCCATCAAAGGAGTTTCGGTGACAGCCTGACATGGTGGCCTGGGGGGAGATGGAATCTGACTGGAAGGTTTCACAGACCACCTGGAGTCCCTTTAGGAGGAGGAGATAGCAGATTAATCTTTTTTTCCCTCAGGTATACCCTCCCAGAATCAGCTATCATATTACACACACTGTTGTTGTTTTTCTAACTTAAAAAATTGCAGCATAGCTCCTTTTACCTTCAACTAACAGAGAGTGGAAATGGACTTGGAGAGAGCACCGGTGTCAATCTAAGCATTAAGAAAAATACTTTTATATTCTTGATTTCATTTTTCCTTTGACTCAGTCCCTTTTCACCTCCATACCCAGTATCCACAGGAGAAGAGTTACAAACCAATAATTCATCAAAGATATGCCAATACTGAGGTGGACCAAATAGAGTCATGAGGCTGAAACCAAGCAACAGGTTAGTAAGAGCTAATCAAATAGAAGCTAGACATGAAAATGGAAGTGCAAGGTTCAGGTTTTTCCACCACTCAACAGAGTAGGGACACAATCTACATTTTTTTCCAGTTGGATACAATGACCTTTATTCAGAACAAAGACTCAGAGGATAAAACTGCATGCTCTGTATATTGGACATAGTGCTTAATTAATGGAGGGGATAACCAGGGTCTTTTAATAAGGGTGATACCAGGTGGTAGAAGCACAGAGAACTAGGGAGGGGAGTTTGGTCTTGAGGTAATGGATCCATAGGGTCCTAAGAAGGAAGGGATATGATGAAACGATGACACCTGGCATATAATAAGCCTCTGTGGAATGGTGAGTTAATAAGTGATGCCTTAGGAAGATTAGTCAGACATTATTAATTGTTATTTATGTGAAGCAGGAGAGGCTAGAGGTAGAAAATCCAATTAGGTGGTTCAAGCTTTATTCTAGTTATGAGGACTTGTATTTAGAGGGTAGTAGTAGAGAATAAAGAGCACCTCTGAGCTACATAACAAAAAAAGAAAACAAAATATGATTTCTCAGCAAAAAAATCAAATAGAGAGGATTAAGGAAAATGAAATATGACATTTATGCATTTTATCTATGATGTCATCAGTTATATGATACACCATTATTTTGTGTTCAATTAAGGAAAAAGCTAGGACACTTCTTATCAGTGAGGATGTCCCATTGCATACTTATTAAAGGGGCTATCTCAGACTTATGTAGGTATAGCTTTTGATTATATATTCATCAGTGTATCTGTAAAAAGAAAAATATAAGTGAACTAATTTGATGTAGGCATACCTAATTTTTTTTTTTACATTTAGAAATTTTAACCAGAGTTGTTGATATGTGATTTTCCATGGAATGACTTTTTCTGTGTCAAGAATGTTGTTTTGTAAAAGAGTGCACCACTATACCCTCTGCCATATTCTTCTAAAACCACCAATCCTGATTCTGCAAATTCAGATGCTGGAAATGACCAAATTCATGCTGTGCAATAATGACAACTATATCGAGACTGCTACCCAGCAGGGAGACTGTAAGAGGACAAAGATCATCAAATACACTCAATTTCAAAAATGTTAAAAGTGAAAAAAAATACATGGTAGAAGAGATGAAATGTAGCATATAAGTCACAGTGTCTGTATTCAGCAATTGCTCAGTAAATAGCAGATATAATAGCACCTCACAATTTTCAGTTTGGAGGGCATAAAGAATGATGAAACTCCTAGCAGTAATGCTCCACCATTTGAAAAAAAGGATCCGATTTTGATGGAAGCCAGCAAGTTGTATTTTGTGCATGTTGAATTGGAGGTGAAGGCAGGTCATTGGCACACATGATAAGTTAGTGGCAGGAGCTTTGAACTACTCTTGCCTTCATTTCTTTCTTTTCCAAACCAAATAGTGCATGCAAAATTTCCATTGAATTATATTCAATTTATTATGCATATTCTGTTTTATTGTATTAGTCTTGATTCTTCATTAAACATTTCATTTCCTTAAGGGTAGGACTGTATATTATGACTCTTCTACTCCCACCTCCCTACCTGCGACAGCACTGTCACACCTACATTAGGATTGCCTAACAAATAGGGGATTTAATAAATGACTTAGAACAAGATGATTAGTTAACGTGGGATGAAAAATGATAACTAAGATTTAATGTTACATGCTAGCCATTGAGATAAAGCGCTGCTTACCACACACTAACCAATAGCTGAACACTGTCTTGTTTCAGCACCCCACCCACCATAAGATTACTTTCCACATCGATAGATATAAAACGTGAGGATGTTTAAAGTTTCACATGCAGGGAGGAGGAGCCAGCATTGAAGCCAAGTTGAATCATCCTAGAACTCATGTCTTACCCTTCACACTACACAGTGTCCAAGGAATGACCGCCCCCTTTCTTCTCCTAATAAAAATGAACTCACCTCTCCATGTCTTGTGTCCTGATTTGGTGATTCACAGGTCTGACTCTGACTGTTAATAGGAGAGCTTCTCTTAGCTGCAAAGATGGAAGAAATTCTATCACAAATTTTATAAGTTCATTTTATTTCGTAAGTTCATTTCATTCTCAATTAAAAATACCTATTTTAACAGTTCATTATCTCCTTGGAAAGAAGATATTTAATAACATATGTTGTAAGAGAAATCGAATAACTAATTCAAAAATTAGCATTTCTAGGTTGTTAATCTAGATCTTGTCATCTATTCAGTCTGACTCAATAGATTAAGGTGCTAAAAAGTTGGCGATACTGAAAACAATAAAAATTAACATCTACATAGTACTTAATATCTGCCAATCTTACAATTGTTATATATCAACTTACTTAACCCTTAAAGTAATCGTATAATAGCATATGGTATATTATTAGACCCATTTTACAGGTGAAAACATAAAGCACAGCAAGTTTAACTTGCCCAAGGTCACACCCTTGTATGAAGGTTCCAGCTCAGGTTATCTGTGCTTTCATGACCACAATAAGCTGCCCCTGAAGTAAAATTCAAATCAGTTCCATCGTTAGCTAAAATGGCAATGCTCCATTTGAATTGTGAGTAATCTGCTGCTGAAAGTGGTTTACCAACCTCACAGGACAAGAAACCTGGGGGAGTGTCAACCATGTGCCAGTTCTTTTTCTTCTGGCCCCGTTGCCTAAGCTGAGTTTAATTTCCCTCAGATGCTGGGCACCATTTCCCGTCCTCAGGGATCAGGAAGAAAGAAAAGAACCCACTGTGGATATCACCCGGAAGCAAAGGGAGGGGAATAGCCCAGGTACTATTCACATGGACATGAATTCTCAATAGTTTTTGTACATTTGTTAAATGATCGTTTAGGTATGAGGAGAGAGAGGGAAGGAGGAAGAAAGAAAGAGAAAAAGGGAGAAAACCTAAGTTTGAGGTGACCTCTACATTCATATAGGAAAATGAGAGGTCTGAAAATAAATGAAAAAAATGTTTTACACAAAAACATGGCTTTTCAGTAATAGTTTTTTACTGAATATTTTATTTTCTTATGTGTTATTTACACTGTTTTTAGTTTTTTAACCTCCTATATGTCTTCTCTCTCAGATTACTTTAATCCAATGAAATAACCTCATTCTACCCATGGGATCTGAAATAGAGCGCTCCTGGCTATGGCTCTTTCCTTATTTAGTTCCTTGATATTTAAACCATATGACAGACTGTTACTCTTGATTTTATAGCTTATTTCAATAATTCATGTATTGTATACATGTAAGTTGTGGGGTTAATCTACTTTTACTATATGAAAAATGTCATCTTCTTTTTTAATGACTATAGTAAGCATGATAAACATCTTATCCTATAGATGAATAACATGGCACTCCTAGTTTACAAAATTCCTTAACATATTATGTACCTTGAAAAGTTGTATTAAGTTACACAGGAAGTTTAATTGACTTATTCAAAGTCACACAACACGACAGCATATGCCCTTGGTTTGGAGTTTCTGATCATGAGAATGACTCCTGATCTGGGAACACCTCAGTAACCCCCTAGAGAAAGTTTCTTTCTCTTGGCTTCTTTAAGGGCAAATGCTCCCATCACCCTCCTTCCTGCACATGAGGAAATCTGCTAAGACCATCTCACTGGGTGTCTGAGGCACCAACCTGTGATGATGTTCCTGATGGGCTTCACCAGTGCCGTGAAGCCAGAGACTTCAGGCTGTCTGTGCTCCCACATGGGCTGCCATATAACAAGCCCGCTGGCCAGGCGGAACGTGAGGTCAGATTCCTGGGGGAAGAGAAAATCCAGGTCTAAGTGGCCTCTAAGAACTGGTTGAAGGGACCAGTCCATGCAAGGATCAACATCACTCACAAGATTATCTTCAAAATGGATTGACTTTCCAAATCTTTCATCACACAAATGAGTGTTTCCATGGTAAACCAATAGTCCTAGGTTATCGTCACAAGTACTACGGAAATCACGGCGGTCTGCTTTAGGCAATATTAATATTTAATTAAAATTCTGCTTTGGGCAAAGCATGAAACACACAAATTATTGTTTTGTATTAGCAGTGACCGAGGCCTGTTTATTTCAAGTCTTGGCAGATCTCTCTCCTGTGGTAATCATTATTATTCCTCTTAATTATTTAATTGTCTTTCTTCCTCATAAGGCAATATCCTCAGATGCTATTTGACTTTCTATTCTCCAGTCCACCTCTTGTTCTTGCATTTCACGGAATCAGGAACATATATTTAGATCCTTCCTGGTGTATTATTTTGTAGTGTTGCTTTCTCAACAATCTTTAACTCCTTGCGGGTGGGGATATATCAGGCATCTTCCCTTCCCCACAGCCCCTATCATCAGCATAATGCTTAACACAAACAATAGGAATTGGGTGCACAATATGCGCTCAATAAATACTTGAATTGTACTGACTTTACAACCCGAACTCACTCAATGTATCTACAATTAAAGGTCTATTGCAGGGAGCACATTCTGTGTTTCATCGTCACATCATTTTGAGAGGCTCCGTTTAAGATGCATTCTCACATTGCATAAGTACAAACATGTGACGTTCTGAGATTACATGTTAAACAACTCAGCCTCTCAAAACAAAGTAGAGATGGAAGCAGAGAATGTGGTAGATTAATGCACACAGCTGAGACCCAGACATTCACTTAGGGAAGTGATTTGCAACCTTGGCTTGCGTATTATAATCGCCTGGGGAGCTTTTAAAACACAGGAGGCCCGGGTCCCACTTCCTTCCCTTCCCAGACCAATTAAATTAGAGTTGCTGTGAGGTTTTCTAAAGTTCCCCCTGGTGACTCCCCACACATACACATGTTTGAAAACCACTGATCTAGAAAGATAAGAGCTGGGAAGAAATTGGAGAAAAAGTAAAGTGATTTTGCAAATGGTGAATCAATGTAGCTCAATGTCAAAGGAAGCCTCTGCTGGAAAGGCTGAGGAAATATCCAAATAAATCTGCATATGGGGAGAGAGAGGGCTCTTCTGTAGCTATTGATTGGGATCCTGGCACCACAGCAGTGCCCACAATAGGAAAGCCTCGAGGACTCCCCGTGGAAGTACATTCATTCTATAAGCATTTAAAGACCACCCACTGTGTACCTGGTACTATTCTAGGTTCTGGGATACGTCAGTGAACAAAGCATACAAAACCCCCTGCTCTTCTAGTGCAAAGGAGAATAAAGCAGGTACAAAGATGTGTCAGGCAGTATTTCTGTTTTAGACTGAGGATCGCCAGGGAAGGCTTTATTGTGAAGGTTAACTTTTGAGAAAGGAGCTGAAGGAAATGAAGGAGCTGCTATGTAGATTTTTGTAAAGAAAGCATTATGTGAAAAGGGATCAGCAAGTGCAAGGTCCTAAGAATGCCTCATGTGTCAACAAATAGCCAGGAGTCAAGTGATTTCAGAACATTAGGAAAAAGTATGGTCATAGAATTTACTGAGTTCCAAATAATACAGGGCCTGATAGGCCATGGTGAGGACTTTAGCAATGACTGAGTACGATGGGAAGCCACTGGAGGCTTTTAAGTAGTGGAATGACATGATTGGATGTACCATATGCTTTGGTAGAATCTCTCAGGATATTGAGCATTAAGGGCAAGGGTGGAAAGTGTGACTTAATTAGGAAGCTCCATTATCATGTAGGGCAGCGGTCGGCTAACTGCGGCCCCTTGAGTGTGGCTCTTCCACAAAATACCACGTGTGGGCGTGCACGTACAGTGCGATTGAAACTTCGTGGCCACACTCAAGGGGCCAAAGAGCCGCATGTGGCTCGCAAACCACAGTTTGCCGACCACTGATCTAGGGGAAAGATGATTAAACTAAGGTGCCAGGAGAGGGCAAAAGTGGTAGATTCTGGACACATTCTGAAGATAGAGCTTACTGATCAGAAGTGGTTGTAAGAGAAAAAGGTGTCAAAGATTTTTGGCTTTGTCATTAATGAAGATAAAGGAGGAACAGGTTTGGGGATATTCAGGAGCCTGGTTTTAGACATGTTAGGTTTGAGATGCCTGTTAGACATTCAGCTAGAGATACTGAGTAAAAAGCTTGGCAGGCAGGTCTGGAGTGAAGGTGAGAGAACCCCGTTCCCTTGAAATGGACATGGGGAAAGCTGCATAGCAGTAAGTGTGGTGTTAGAGCCAGCAAGCAGAGAACTAATAGTAAGCAAAGCTTATCAGATTTGTCTCCAGAAATGCAGGACACCAATCTCAATTGACCTGGTTTCAATAATTTTGTAGTTTCTGAGCTCAGTCCTTTTTCCATGTTTCTCATAAGTAATCTTGACACAAATTATACTCCAATGGACACTGCAGCAGTAAGTGAGCTCTTATACTAAACCCTGGTGACACATCACTCACTGATAGTGACTGTCATCATTTTATTTCATCTGATGTACTCCCAACTAGATTGTGTATCTCTTGAAGACAAGCTGAGACCTCCTTCTGTTGTGTGCACTTATCCTCGAGCATCATACTTATTTGTTGATCGATTTTAGTTTGCCCAAATAACACCAGTAAATACGATCACTCTTCAGACCTGAATACTTGCAGAACCCATGGTCTTCTCTTGTTTTCCTTCGTAAGTTCTCTTAAGTTAGCTGAATCCATAAACTCTGGAACCCTAATTCCGCTTCTAGAGTCCTATTTAATGGGCCACCCAATGTTATGTATGCATACATGACCAGAAACTGATAACTGGAGAAGATAATCTTTATCATTCAAACAGCTAAAGGGCGCAAAGTACTGAAAAGTACTAAGAAAGAAAAAAAATAGAGTCATGTGCTTGTGGCACTAAAGTAGCCAGGGAAATGCTTTCTGAGGTAGTGACATTTGAGTTGTGAGTAAACCCATGAGAAGGACATGGCCATGTACAAATCTAGGGGCAAAGCATGGCAGTAAATGTTTCAAATGGAAGGAAAAACCAGTGCAAGGACCTGAATGCAAGAATGAACTTGTCCAGTTTGAGAGTGGAGGTTAATGAACAAGAGAGAGGCTAGTGAGATGGAGGGTGATGAGACCGAGAAGGTAGGCAGGACCCAGGACCTGTAAGTCCCATAGGCCAGAGAACAGTCTCAGTTAAAGCGATGGCTTCCATTGAGTGTAACCTTTATAAAAAGACCTTTTAAAATGAAAAGTTAAAGTTTTCAAAGTAGCTATTTAATTTGATCTAACAACATTTAAAAATTTTAGTATGTTTCATGGGCAATGTGGCCAGTGCATGCAAATCATTTGGGAATTTACAGGTAATTTCAGTTCCATTCCTAGGAGCAATGGGACAGCTTTAATTGAAAGTAAATTTTGCCCAGCTGCAGTGGCTCAGTGGTTGAGCGTGGACTTTTGAACCAGGAGATCACAGTTTGATTCCTGGTCAGGGCACATTTCTGGGTTGTGGGCTCAGTCCCTAGTGAGAGGTGTGCATGAGGCAGCCAATCAATGATTCTCTCTCATCACTGATATTTCTCTCTCTCCCTCTCCCTTCCTCTCTGAAATCAATAGAAATATATACTTAAAAAAAGAAAGTAAATTTTAACTAAAACTAAAATGGGTAAAAAGACTCATTAGTCCATGCCCCTCATAGTGATTTTTAATGGTCTCACAACCATCTTCATATATTACTAACTTGAAACATCTATTCATTAGGATCCTAATATTCCATTAAAGAACAGTTGAGCATATTAATTCCTTCTTATCTCTCATTTTAGCATTTAGATGGAATATTGTAATTAAGTCACAGAAATAACAAATACTTTTTTATTTCATTCTATGTTCTGGAATGGTACTATGTCTTCACATATATCTGCCCTGTGTTGGAACTATCCACAGTTTTATGCAATGGAGGATCCAAAAGCTTAATACACCAAGATCACAAGATGAAACATGGTGATTTCAGATGATATTCTCTCTTTCAGATCCAAGGAGTATATGGATATACTTGTATTTTAATGCAATTGGTTTCCATGTAATCCTATGTTTTGTATTCTATGCATTTAAAAATATTTGGAAAGCAATTCTTGGTTAGGTTGAACCAACCTGTCAAAAAGTCCACAGCACATTAAAATTAAAAACTTCTGTCTAGATCCTGTATTATAATAGAAGTAGCTACAGAGTGCTACAGAAGTACAAAGGACATAATAACATACATAAAGTCTACATGGAGAAAGTCAGAGGAAAATACTCATTAACGTTGAGGTTTGAAGAAACATGAGAGGAACTTAAGCCCCAGATCATGCTTGAACTTATATGCCATATTTAATATGTTGGACATCATCTTGGGGTAGATGGTTAACCACTGGATATTTTTAAGTAGGTAAATGACATATAGAAGACTGTGTTTTTGAAATAATGTTCAGTAGTTTAATATAAAAATAAAACTTGTCATGTCTTGTTTTACTACAAGATCATCCACAGACACTGACACCAAATATGGAAATACCATTTAAAGCTCATCTTCACTTCACCCGTGTCCCTCCTCAACCTAACACTACCTTTCTGCTTACCTTGATCCTGTGGACGAGAGGAGCAAACAGAAACACAAAGAGCTCCACAGTAGCCATGGAGTTATGGAATATCTTCCTTCGGTTGTTCTCTTCGTCATCGTTGGAGCTGCTTTGGCAAGGCAGCCCTGGAGAACCCTGGTTTTCAATCTGGTGGATAAAAGCGCTGCTACTGCCACCCCAGCTGGATCCTCGGTCCGTGCCCCCAAACCGCTCACTGTTGCAGTCCTGGGGGGCCTCCAGGAGCATCCAGTGGAGGGTGTGCAGGAGTTTTGTCTCAGCAACACCCAGTTTATCCTGGTGGCCTGCATGGGATACCCGCAGAGTCAGGTTAAGGCAAACTCTGTGACCAGAACAATGGCTGTCAATTTGGGGTCTGGAAGACACCCTGGCTTTGCTCTGGGAGACACTAGCATTTCTTTGTGCCCCTTACAACCACTGCTGAAAGGGCACATTCATTTTGGGGGCTTCTAACAGGCTGCAGTCTTTGCAGAATGACATGCTGCCAGAGGAGAAAATGCATGCATCACATCTCCTCAGTCAGATACCAAATACAGTTGACCCTTGAAGAACATGGGTTGGACTACAGCAGTCCATTTAGAGGTGCAGATTTTTTTCTATAGTCAACCCTTCCTATCCTTGTCTTTTGCATCTGCAGATTCAACCAACCAGGATTGAAAATACTGTTTCAATCTGCAGTTGGTTGAATCTGCAGATACAGGGGCAGTTAAAAGTTATATGTGGATTTTCACAGGTGGGAAGGGAATGGGTATGCACCTACCCATCCCCTAATTCCAACCCTCTAACTATATATTTCCAAATGGGCAGTATAATGGTTAATAACATAGATTGTGAAGATAATAGCTACTATATTTTAGGCAATGTGACTAGGAAAGGCACCTCGATGAAGGGAACATTTGAGCAGAGACCCAAATGAGGGGAACGGATTGGATGGGAAGAGAGCACGAACACTAACACGGGGTAGATGGCTAAGATAGACTGTCATTATGATAAAATAAATTCTACAAATACCTCAAAAAAGAAAAAACAATCTTTTATGCATAGGCACACACATACATACAGTACCACAAAGTGAATGTAGGTACTTTAGGAGCTGGGAGAGCGAAGAGACAACTATGATGGGTGAGAGTCTCTAGCTTTCCTATAAAACATTCATGTTTAGAATGATAATATATTCATGTACTACTTGTAAAATTAATTAAAAAATAAGAGAGCCAGTTCCCTCATTGGTAAAATGGAGATAACAGTGGTACCAACATGGGGGGCAGGGTGAGAATTAAATGAGAAAATGTGTGCACAGTGTCTATGAAAATAGTAAATACTCAGTAACTGTTAGTATGAATGTTGAACACAATGGATGATGGCATGCCATAAGTAACACAGGAGCACCAACCCAGCTTGTTCCTGTTGGAGAGGAGGGTTGCTGTGCAGTGGAGGACATGAGGCAAAGCGGCTTGCACCAGCTCCCATCTGGAAATACTCTGGATGGCTTCAGAGAGGGCCGGAGAGAGGCCATGCAGCTTGTTTTCTACCAACACTCGTTCAAAGGACTATAGATACAAGAAGAAAGAAAGAAAGCATCTAAAATAAGGATTCAGAGAGTCTGGTGAAAATAATGACATCAAGGTACTGTAGACCCTAAAAGATGCAAATTACTGGACCTGATTCTTTAGCGTGCACCTACATTGAATTGTATTGCTTTTTAAAAAACATGCAGTGGCTCAGTAATAATTTCCTATTTTCTACCCATTTTCAGGTTTTTATCCAAAGTATATGGCTTGAATTATTAAATGATTATCATACCCATCAAACTAAGCTTACTCTAACAAAGAGTACAGCACAATCAATTCTTGCAATTTGGGGATGTAATATTTTATAAAATGCTGCTAAGTCATCCAAAGAGGGTGTCACAGCTGCATAACAAAGTGGAATGTCTTTTGTTAGTGTCTTGAGGAACAGAACATATGTCAATGTTCAACAAGTGTTAAATAAGATATACTTTTTTAAGAAATCTAACTTTGGAATTATTAATGTTTATTGCATATAAATGGCGAATTATTTTGTATCTATAATGTGGTAATAGGTTTATTTTGTAGATTGTAAATAATAATAATAGCAATAATAATAAAATACTACCTTAAACGAAAGTCAAAAAATAAAAAAAGAAATTGAACTTTGAAGTCCCTGAGTTATTATCCCATGTCCCCAGCAATGACTGGGCACAGGACACTCCTTACCTAATGCTGGAACCATAAAGATACCTGTTGAGTAAAGAAAGGAAGGGAGAAGAAACGGGTGGGTAGGAGGGAGGAGGAAAATGAGCATTTTCTTTGGTGGTTTAACTCTTCTGTCCTGGCCCGGGATATTTTCTGAGAGTGTAGTAACCCATAAGAAGTTTGATTGACTCAGGTTTGTTGTTGTTGTTGTTTGTCTGTTTTGAAGGAGTATATATCACTATAGAGTGTTGAGGAAAGTGTAGCTACAAAATATAAAATATATTTAATAATTATTTGACTTGTATGAACAGAACCCAATTGGCGCTCAGCACCCCAAATGCTCTAGAAAACTGTGTAAGTGTGCTCTAGAGTGATCATAATGGAATCCCGAGTGTTCGAGCGGTGTTACTGTAATTATTAGAATCCTTGAAAAAAGGAGATGTGGCTTACTGCAGATAGTCTCCAAAGGAAACTATTTACTTTTTGACCCAAAAAAGTAAAATGAGAAACTCGTAATGAAAACCATGCTGAAGTTTTGGTAAGGAGTAAAATCAGAGATCCAGTCTTTTTTATTTTTAAAGAAACGAAATAAAGGCCTTTGGGTATGCTGGCAATGCAAATTCAAATATATTTAAATTTCTCAGCCTTCAGGTAATTTTTACTAGGTAAAATAACTTTCAATTTAGATATTTACACCTCTATATCTATCTATCTATAAATGTGACTTAGCTATTTAAAATCATGTGACATTAAACATGTCAGACATATCTTTGCCAAGAACAGAGAAAGGTTAGGATTATTTTAAGCTAGGATAATTGTAAGCATGGTTTAAAGAAGACTCGGAGATTTCAGGTATGAAATTACTCTAACTTGAGAACAATACAAAACAATTTCCATTAAAAGGCTCTTGTTAGAAAGTTAGTTTTTTAAAATATCTCTGTGACAACTCTAAAGGGCAGGAGATAGAACAGCACACAGTCCAGCTTGAGACTGAGAGTGGATAAGTGTGTGTGTGTGTGTGTGTGTGTGTGTCCAGTTGGCTTCCATCCTAGTTTGTAGAAGGTCATCTATGTAGAAATTTACAAATATTCATGGTAATATCTAGATAGATAGGTTTCCACATTAAGTTATAATATATACAACGTGAACTCCAAATTTTAATGAAGTCTGTGGAAATCCTACTTTATTTGCTTCACAATTTAATGTCTTTTGTTCTCAATTTGTAAAATGGGAATTTGTAGGGATATGGGATTTTCTTAGAATCTCAGGACAAAGCATTCTATTTTGCATAAATACAGGGCGGGCAATTACCAGTCTAAAAGATAAGTCATAGCCCAGCCGGTGCTGCGCAGTGGTTGAGCGTTGACCTATAATCCAGGAGGCCATAGTTCAAACTCAATCCCCGGTGGGGGGTGTGCAGGAGGCAGCCGATTGATTATTCTCTCTCATCATTGATGTTTCTGTTTCTCTCTCCCTCCCTTCTTCTCTGAAATCAATAAAAATATATTTTTAAAAAGATAAATCATAAGGATATAAAATAATAATAGACAAATAATAACAATAAATAATACAGTAATAAATAAATATAATGTAAAAATAAATTGTTTTGGGTACTCACAACTGTTAACCTATTTTTTCCCACCCCTGTATTAATATCATTTCAATAATTACTTTATATCATCATTTTCAACTTGCACAACAAATAAAGGACATAAAAGTTCAGAATTGCATGTGACTGAGTACTTCATAGACACTAATGTTTGAACTTTCACGATATAACAGTCATAATTTTGTTAATTAAGGAAATAATTTATTTTTCTTGCTTTGCAAGGCCCTCCACCACCCAATTATCTGTTATTTCTCAGCCCTCTCTTTACTGTTCTATTCCTCTTCTCACTCTAGATGAAGGTCCTTCAGACTTGCTGTTCCCTCTGCTCTTCTCTTCCCTTCCTTCAAGTCTTTGTCCAAGGGTCATGTTAACAGGTAAACCTTGTCCATCTACCACTACTAAACTGAAACCCCCACCCTAGTGCTCCCTAATCTCCTTTCTTGCTTAATTTGTCTCCATAGCGCTCATCACTATCTAGCTTACTATGTATTTCACGTTTGTGAGTAGCCGGTTCCCCTCCCACTAGAATGCAAACTCTGTATTTGCTGTGATCATTGCTCTCTCCCATAATCTAGAACTGTGCCTGGCACATAGTAGGTGCTCAATAATATTTGTCTAGTGAATAATACATATACAGCCAGTATGATTTAATGTCTTTCTTTGGGTTGAAAATACCACACAGAATATGGAGATCATTAAATGATGAATATCACATACCACACAAGAGGCTTCATATTGCTTCCCCAGTTTAGGCCTCAAAAATGCACTGAAAATAGAGATATTTGTTATCAGCATAAATAAAATTATTAGAACATCCTTATGACATATCTTCCAATGAATAAAACATAATGCTACAAAACTCAAATTTCATGCTTCCCTATAGCTTGTTAATAAGCAGGTGTTGAATGGCTGACCACATTTGCTTTTACATATGTAATTACATATATGAAAGAGATGTGCATCTCTACGCTTTCTGTATCGACTCTTATTCTGAAGATTTTTCCTAATCAGATTCTAAATCTCCAGTAGTCAGAAGTGGTGTATTACTCATGTACAGTCATATTAAAACTGGAAAATGAACACAGCTTGTGGGTCATGATTTCCAGAATCCAATTTCTTATATGATAAATCTTAATAATAATAATAACAATGATAATGATGATGGAACCCTTGTTTATTGGAATAGGTTTCAGGCTTTTTCGGGGGATGGGGGAAGTCTTATAAAAGATCATTTTCTCCTCTGGGGATTTAACCAGGAACATTCCGCTCGCTGAATCCGAGCAAAAATGGTTAACAAGTGGGCATAGCAGATATTTGCCAAACAGGAACTAGAAAAACAACAGGTCACCGGGCTGCAATGACAGCAGAAGGAGGGCACATAGGATGCAGGAGCACAACCAGTCACAATTATCTCCCCTGGCTCCCTGCCCCCTCTTCCTAGGCTCTCTGCCCTCCCCTTCCCTAAATAACGTATATATTTATCCAGCAACTGCCAACCTGCCTGTAGTCAAACTTCCCTGAAATATTTTTAAATGCGTGTTTTTAAGCGGGTGCAGAGGGCTTGCTTTCCAGCCTCGGAGGGGGAGCTGCGGGCTGTGCGCGGCCTCAGCAGTGGCGGCGGTGGTGGCGGTGGCGGCGGAGGTGGAGAGGACCGGGCGGCCCGGGAGTGCCCCCAGCCCAGGCTGGCCCTCACCTGGTTTGCCGCCACAGGAAGGTCTGGATGGGCAAGGGGATGCCGCGGCCGCCGTCCTGCTCCTGGCCCTCAGAGCTCTTCCTCTTCACCATGATGGTGGCTCCTGGGAGTCTTACTGCAGGACCCAGCGTTGGCTCCTCAGCGGCTGCCTCCTCTTCCTCTTCCTCCTCCTCCTCCCGTGGTTCTCCCCAACTCTCATCCCCTCCTTCCCTGAGGCAGAGCCGGCTCTCCCCGCCCCATCCCGCGTCCTTCTACCCTCCGCCCCTCCCCTTGCGTGGAACGTGGCTGCGGGAGGCGGGGAGGGTGGAGGAGCAGGAGCAAGGAGCGGGGGCGCCCTGAGGAGCTGTCCGCCTCTCCCCTTCCCGCCGCTCCCTGATTTCAGCACCTCCCACTGTGGACAGCGGCCGTGCCCTCGGGCCCTGCGGCTGAGGAGAGCAGGGGGCTGGTTGAGCAGCAGTGCGGGGGTGGCCAAAAGGATCTATGCACCACCACCACGTCGTGCCAGGTCCCCTGCCCGGCCTCTTCAGCGCCCCAGGATTCGCTCCCTTCCCTTAGAGCTGCACCCCAGGGGTATCCCCTGTCTTGCTTCTCAGCATCTGAAGAATTGTCAAGGTCTGGGGAGAAGGTGCTTTGGAGCACCGCATAGCAGTCCCTAAGCCTGGCATCATTCGCACCTCCAGCAAGGAGGTCAGGAGTCTACCCTTGGGCTTAGCAGAAAGAATACATGAAAATTATTAGAAGTGCAACCCAGAAAGGGAGCAAGCTTGGCAAGATAGCAAGCTTGAAATTTCCCTGATGTGAGAATTCATTTTAAAATGGTAACCATAAAAAATTAACCTCGCTTGTCTAGCCAAAATGTCCCCAAACTAACCAGTTGTAGATATTAGTTAATTACAACTTGAGAAAGAACATCTGAATCATGCTGTTAGGAACTGTGGTTTATTCTCATCCATCAGTGCACTTGGGTGATCCTATTCACCCACGGATATCTGCCATTTCCCTTCAGTTATCACAGTCAAGTGCCTATGTAGCTCATAGGGGTGTTTCTGTTAGGTATTTTATCTAGCAGTAAACAAGTAGGGGTGGGTAAAGTGAAGCGGTCTGAGTAGAAAACCCTTGCTGTGAATCCAACTACTTTCAAACAAACAAACAGAGTCATATACCTTTTTGAACAAAGATACTGCTGCAACCTATGAAATAAAGACTCGGACACTGGGGAAGCAAAATCATCATTTCCATTTACGTGGGATTGATATGACAGAAATGTAGAGTTCACTTGAAATAGCCAAGAGTTTTAGATGGGAACACAAGCCTGGAGATTAGAAAAATATGCCATGAAAACCTGAATGTATTACAAAATCAATAACCAATGACAAAAAATTTGAGAAATAAAAAATGCTCAATCTTATCAATAATCTGGGAAAATCACAGAAGAAATGCAGTGATGATAACAACCATTTCAAGATCCTTAAAAGCAAGAACCTTGGGACCTGACTACCTGGTTCAAATACCAGCATGGCTGCTCACAAGACATGTAACATCGAAAATACCACTTATCTCAAATTAAAAAAACTGTGGCACATCCACACAATGGAATACTAGGCTGCTGTAAAAAAGAAGAAACTCTTACCATTTGCAACAGCATGGATGGACCCAGAGAGCATCATGCTAAGCGAAATAAGCCAGTTGGAGAAAGATAAATATCACATGATCTCACTCCTTTGTGGAATATAATGAACAACATAAACTGATGAACAAAAATAGAGCCAGAGGGGGGAAAATATTTTAGAATATAATAGAAGTAATCCTGTTATTTGCAGATTTTTAATGTTTCCTACAACTTTTGTGATATCATACTATGTTAGTACAGTTTTGGTAATATTATTTTACTTAAAATCCTTTTTTTCTTGAAATGTTAATGTTTATTGCATGTAATATTATTATATTTAAGATCGTTTTTCTTGAAAAAAATAAACAAATAAAATGATAATTACCTAAAAAAAAAAGAAAGAAAGAAAATACCACTTATCTCTGGGAGTCAGTATCTTCACCTATAACATGAGAAGAATAAGAGAAGATATTTTTGTAAGGTTGTTGTAAGTCTTAAATGGGTCAATATATTTTCTAGTTAAAACTGTTTCATAACAAATTATCAGTGCAAATCTTAGAGGCATAAAACAACCATTTTGTTGTGCTCATGACTTGTGAGTCAGGCACATGGTATGTCTCATCAGGGTAGTTCCCATTTAGAGTCTCATGCAGTTATCATTAGCTGTGAGTTGGGACTGTAGTTATTTGAAGACTTGAATGGTCTGCATGTCCCTGATGGTTCAATCATATGGATGACAGTAGATGTTGCCTGACAGCTGGGTGTTCAGCTCAGGCTGTCCACTGGAGCAATATACATGGCCTCTCCGGGCAGTCTCAGGGTGGTTACAGCTCACTTCACCCAGAGACAGATTCCTACAGAACAAGGTACAAGCTGCACAGCCTTTTCTCATCTAGCCTCAAAAGCTATGCAGCAAATTTCTGCTTCAGCCTATTGGTTATAAGTCATTAAGATTCTTCCAGAGTCAAGAGGAAGCAACGTAGATCTTACCTCTCAAGGGGAAGAGTGTCAATTTGCAGACATATTTTAAAATATCCATGAAATAGGTAAAATACTTGGAAGAGTGCCTGTTGTAGTCTGTCATTAGTACTATTCTTTTGACATGATGACTTAGCCTTTTAGCTTTTTAAATGAACTCTTCTGTAGCTCAGTCTTCCTCATCGTTTTGTCTCAATTTTGTAATCCAAAATGCTTCATGGAGTGGCACTGAGGAAGATGGACAAACAAGGGTTCTGATAATTCTCATTTACATTTAGTTTTTTTTCTTTTCCACTTGACATCTTGTTAGAACTTGTTAGTCAATAAATCCCTGAAGCACAGGGTGAAGTGACAGAGTTACAGAGGCTGGCAGAGGATGGCTTGGATGCTAGCTCCTGGCATCACTGGAGGGTTCATTTATTTGTAATCATAATACATGAATGGTCTGTCCCTTAATAGGTCAGATTTTTGTTTTGACTTTACTTTCAATGGCTTCCCCAGAGGAATTCATACAAGCTTTCTGATACCTACCAACTGGCTGACAGCTCTGTATCAGGATTATAAGACCTTTTCTTCTAGAGAGTCAAGAAAACAAGAAGAAATATGTAGACTGTACTTCAGGTAGACCCCAATATCTTAAAGCCAATTTTTTGTTTGTCTTTTTCTTGCTTTCTAACCAATCACATGTTTTCTGCTTATGGAGAGAGAAAGCTTCATGATGCTGGAAGCCATATTTGCTGAGTCACCCCGTATTGATTTCTTTAACATTGGTGTGGCTGAAAATATTTTTAATCCTCAGCCTTTGTTACTAGGCACACTGTCCTATCATGATGTTGAAGATATATAAGTTTCTACTTTAGATTACATTGTAATAATGTAAGCTTTATTTTATTAAGGTTAAAAATGCTAAACACCCCCTGTTATTCAGTTTAGTTTCCCCCCTTAAGTGTAGACAAAAATATTTTTTAAAAAATCTTTCTTTCTACCACCACTTGTTGACAGAATAGTGAGATTTATGTTTTCCTAGAGTCTAAACCATTTCTGCACAGGGGCCAACTTAGAAAAAATAAAATTGTTTACTTTAAAAAATGTGTTTTTTTTTAAATGTGGAAATGCAATATCTGCACTTAAGTATTCTAATGACATTTTCTTATTCAGAAAGAGTTGAGTGTAATAGGCTGAATTTTCAAAAATTTTCTCATTAGCATGCCCTGCAGTGTGTGATAATGAGCACTGGTGTGAGAAGAGAACGCAATGCTGGTCTCCTTAGGAACAGCCAGGGACAAACAGTCTGGCTGCAGCACGACCTCCCTGCTGCTGTGTCGCGTTCACTCCTCATTCCTTCTGTTCTCTGTGCCTGTGCCCTCTCCCAGGGCGGCAGCTTCTGTCCATGACTCAGTCATGTAGCAGCAGCACAAACCTCAGACCCCAGCCTGCCCTCAGCAGAGAGAGCTTTCTCTGTCCTGCACGGACAACAATTACTTCTCCCACCCAAACTGCACCAAGGGATCTGCTTCCAGAGAACCCAACAGTGTGATGTGGGCAAGCTCTTCCTCCCCAAGGAGGGGAGTTGGACCTGCAGGTGCATTTGCAACTTAAAATCCCATTAAACTCTGACATAGTTTTCTCTTTCAAAAAGGCAAGCAGTAACCATTGGTAGAACACCTTTTCCTTATTTTCAGCATGATCACTCTTATTGATGGAACTGAGATCATGCAAGTCTTCCCAAGTCCCTCTGGGTAATGTCCATGTCACACTGCACTTTTGCTTACAGACATATTAAGGCATCTTTTCTCTGTTTCCTGACTCATGGATTGAGACCTTTTACCTGATTAAGAAATAAACTACACATTTACCTAGCCCTAGAGCTGACTAATTGAATTCTAGAAGAGGTTGATAAGTTTCTCAAAACCAGTGATTCTCAGTCCTGGTGATTAGAATCATAACCAGCAGAACTTAAAAACGATTACTGTCTGGGTTCTATCTATGATCAATTAAATCAGAATCTTTGGGGGAAGGGAGAAGCTTTTGAATATTTTTGCAAAGCTTTGCAGGAGACTGTAGTGTGCAAACTGGATGAAGAACCACTGTGCACTAATCAGATTGAAGTAAAAATACACACAATAGAAAATGCAGTGCAGGCCAACAGGGAAACTGAACACATTAGAGGCAGGAGATGGCAATGATCTAACTTCTATTATTTTAATATAGAAAAGGTGACTACATGAAAGGTTGAAAAACAGAAGGAAATAACTTCATTGTCCTATAAGTAGAGTTGGCCAAGCAAGTAGTTTTATCACCAGGAAAAGCAGAAGCAAATGCCACGAAAGGAAATGCAATCTATTGCTTTTTATCTTCAAGCCTTTGATCAGCATTTGCCCTCATCCCAAATATATTTTATGATTGGTAATAATTAATGTTCTTTACCTCCCACAAGAAATAATTCAAAACCACTTTACCTACTTTTTAAATGTGCCCAATGTTACATTCATACACACCTTTTAATGTTGTTTTGACCATTACATGCTAGTTTCCTTTTTCATTGTTTCCATGATTATATGGATGAATATATTTAATTATTTTTATATTCCTCCTCAAAATCACATAGATCTATATAGGTCTTTTTATAATGTAGAAAGGAAATAAAAATGCTCCATGGATCAGCCAGCATGGTTCATTTGAGGCTTATTGTGCTGCAAGAAACAGACCCATTCAGACCTATTTAGACATCTGTGCAGAGTTGTGGGCAAGGTAAGGTATATAAAGGTCAAATCACTATGTTATACACTTGAAACTAATACAATATTGTATGCAACTATACATTAATAAAAAGTTTAAAAAATAAAATAAAACTTTCAACAGTTTGGAGCTATTCACTAATCTTTAATTTAACCACATTTTACAAGTGTTGAAACTGAGGCACAGAAAAATTAAGTAAATTGCCTGAAGCAACATAACCAGGGAGCAGTAAGGCCAGGATGAGAAAGCTCGGGTTCTATGAGAGTTTCTTTCCAGGATCAGGTTGAATGTTTTATTTTAACAAATATTAAAGAGTAAATTTTAATATGTTTTAATATCAATAGCTAATGCCCTTGCTGGGAATGCAGCGTAGTTTAGTGGGAAAGGTATTGGTTTTCCAATTGTAGAAATCCATGTAATTCACTGTTCAATTAGTTCTATGAGTTCCTATTTTCTTAACATGAAATGGACATATTTACCTGATAGAGTTATTCTGAAAATTAAAGGAAGCAATGTATCAAAGCAGGACAATGTATCAATGTAGGACATTGTAAAGTAACTCTCAATGAACTTTGATTCTACATAAGCAATGAGAACCATGATTTGCCCTTATGTGTCTGTACATGGATTGCTGAAAATACTAAGCAGTGATGTGCAATTTGATTCTGCTTCTTAAGCTGGTTGTCATCAGTTTATGGCTACTACTTTATATGAGATATCATTAATATTTTGTTTGTTTGTTTGTTTTCAAGGAAGTTAGGCTAAAAGACTGACTTAGCACACACATAGCAATTATTCTTTGAGCCCTTGCTTTAAAATGTATGTACTTCCTCCATTGCAAGCACCCCTTACATTTAGAGATATTACCAAGAAGACATTTGCCCACTGAAGAAATATGTCAGCTATAAGAAAAAATATTCAATTCTTTAAAGGAATAATTTGGGAAATTTCCTTTCTGATATTGTTTGGATTGTAGCTTAGAGAATTAGAAAAATACCACCACTTGGGAAATGGTTGCTATGGGTTCATCTCGTAGTTGTCATGGCTGGGGTACCACAAATTGCTGAGCTCGCCATTGTTTCAGACACAAGAACACAGATTTTTTTCAAGTATCTTGTATAGAGAACACAGCACCCTGTGATTTAAACACCTTTGAGTATTATGCTAAATGAAATAATCCAGTCAAAGAAAGACAAGTATCACATGATCTCACACATATGTAGAATCTAATGAACAAAATAAACTGATGAACAAAATAGATCCAGAGACATAGAACCATAGAACAGACTGTTGAATCTCAGAGGGAAGGTGGGGGGGTGGGGATGGAAGGGGTCAATTGGGAATAAAAGGGGACATCTGTAATACTTTTGACAATAAATATAAAAATTAAGTAAACACCTTTAAAACAACAAAGGTGTTTTATCTTATTCTGTGATTTGTGCTGTGCCACATATGGTAATTTTAATCTTCAATTTTCTAGCATATATTTTTAAACAAGCCAAAGAGGCTTCTTTCAATGTTTACTTCTTTCACTGATATCACAGCTAAATTCTTCCTCTTAAATGTGTGGAGTTGACTCTATGAAACTTGGATTTCCCTCTAGAGATGGTTGGTGAGAAATTTGCTATAAAAAGGGAATGACATTGGATGTGGGTTTTAGGTTCAGAAGGAAGTATTCTACTTACTCCCCTATATTTAATGCATATTCTAAAAAGAGGGGAAGATACTCATTTATGCACTAATATTAAATATGATTTACTTTTTACTGGCAAAAATGTTTCTTGGTGCCCTGACCTGTTTGGCTCAGTGGATAGAGCATCGGCCTGCGGACTCAAGGGTCCCAGGTTTGATTCCGGTCGGGGGCATGTGCCTTGGTTGAGGGCACATCCCCAGTGGGAGGTGTGCAGGAGGCAGCTGATCGATGTTTCTCTCTCGTTTTTGTTTCTGACTCTGTCCCTCTCCCTTCCTCTCTGTAAAAAATCAATAAAATATATTTTTAAAAAATGTTTCTTGGCAAGCATAGCTAAATGCCCCACCTCCTCTTGATTTTTTCTTGCTTTTCAGTAAGTTTGTTGCTGTGAATGTGCTTCTCTAATCAAGCATCATGTCCTTGCATGAGAATGATTCCTCTGATACCAGGAATTGAGAGCACAGGCAATATGTCAGGGAAGAATTACAAGCCCGCTGTTAAGAGCCAGCCTTCAAACATAGACGCCCACCTCTTCATTCTGGAGTCATTAGAAATTGAAAGCGAACAATTTTAGAATGGGTACATCGCAAAATGTAAAATATTAAGAGTGTGCTTATGTGAATGTACATGCAAACACAGGCATCAGATCAAAATAGACTATAATTCAAAGGCGATTATGTACAAATGATTGCATGATTGTGTAATGCATTAAAGTCTATCTAGAGAAGACATCACCATAAATTACGTATCCAAAATTAATGTATGGCGATTTTCCAGATTGGCCCTGAAGGCAGAGGGTTTTAAATTCATCATCTCATCATCCACTACTCTTATAACGTGTAAATGAGAAAATTCAATAATTTTTATCTGAGATCCCAAATCACTCTGCAAATCTAATTGACTAAAATACATAAGCAAGAATTATTATCCTCATTTTTGTGGCTGGAAGGGTTGGTTAAAAGATTTCATCTAAGACCAACAAATGAATAAGTAATGAAACAGACATTAATCACTTTAACTCCTGATTCTATTGAGCTGTTTTTTGTACTAACCAAAGCCTGTTTACTCTTTTGAAAACTGTATTCATTTATTTACTTATTTTTTATTTGTTATCTTTTTGTTGAAAGTCTTACAGATGTCTCTCTTTTTTTCCCAGTGACCCCCCTCCATCCTTAACTACCCCCCCAGCCTTCACCTGTCTATTGTCTGTGTCCATGAGTTACGCATATACGCATATAAATTCTTTAGTTAATCTCTCCCTGACCCTCCCTCCTTTCCCTCTGAGTTTCGTTGGTCTGTTCCATGCTTCTATGTTTCTGGATCAATTTTGTTCATTAGATTCTACATGTGAGTGAGATCATGTGATACTTGTCTTTCTCTAACTGGCTTATTTCGCTTAGCATAACACCCTCCAGGTCCCTATTATACAAGGAAATTAATATACTTATATCCATTTAGGAGCCAGTGTCAGAGTTAACAGCTGTGTGCCAGCAAGATAGCAAATGCAGGTGCTTGTGAACCAATGGAAATAGAAAGCAGCTTTCAAAACCACCCATGGGAGTGATCATGTACGTAGAGGTGCCTTTTCACTGTTGACAATGTTGACAAACCTTGTTTGCCCTGGATGAAAAGAATTTCAAGAGGAAAGCATTTCTATTCCAAGTTCCCCAAGCTATGAGTGAGGACATTCTTATCAGAGTGCTTTTTCAGAGCTGGAGAAGGTATATATATATAGCCAATTGCTCAATAATGTAATCCCTTCCTCACCTCATATGTAAGTGAAATGAAGTATATCGCCCAAGGTGCCAGTTCTATTTTTAACATCCACGGTTGTTCTGCTAAGTCACTGAATGATCTATCCTAACACTCTGCAGCTTCCCATT